ACACTGACTTCAGACCGCTGTGGCCCCCCTGAAAAATAATAATAATAGTTTATGATTAAACGATGTCTTGGCTGATGTTATTTGTCATTCTACACTGATAAAAACGATTTTTTTTTTGCTCTAGTAAATAATACTATGATTATTTGTTTAAATTATACAAGAAATTACTAANCCTGGCATATGTACTACAGCGCATACTTGTCAACCCTCCCGATTTTCGCGGGAGACTCCCGATTTCATTGCCCTCTCCCGGTTTCCTCCCGGGGTCATATTTCTCCCTCATTTCTCCCGATTTCATATGACCCCGGGAGGAAACCGGGAGAGGGCAATGAAATCGGGAGTCTCCCGCGAAAATCGGGAGGGTTGACAAGTATGCGCTGTAGTACATATGCCAGGCCTGTAGATGGTGCTGTTCTCACAGAATCAGCCCATGCAAAGACAGTGTTAAATTGAGCGAAATGAGGAATGGCTAAAATGCATGATCTGTTTGGTATTTTCAAAAATAAAAAGTATAAATATGCCTTATATAGGTATGGTCCTACACTATATTATTCAAATATAGCATGATAGGTCCACTTTAAGAGGCCGGTAGCGGAGGGAAAGTAACTGTTCAGGTGGCGAGAGGTATTGGTCTTGATGGAGACATAGAACATAAGTTGGATTCAGTACTAAAAGAACCCTCAGTCTTTACAGATCATACTGCTGTTATCACAAAAGTCAATCTGGGACCAATCAGACATAACTGTATCTGGGACTACTGGAAATTAAACAAAACATTCTTATTAAATAATGAATTTAAAACCGAAACTCAGAAATATTGACTATGCAGTGGCTTTTTAATGCTTTGCCTAGGAGTGTGCTGCAGCTTCTTAGATATCCAGATACTGAGGCCTCAGTGGTTGATCTTTCTAATAGCAGTATATTCCTTGGTGAAGTGGTCGTTCATATACATTTGCGAGCATTTGTTGTTAGGTTGCTGTTAGGTTAGCCCAGTCTAGCGTCATGATAAGACAATTCATAACAAATTGTTTATTTACATTTATAGAAGTATCCGTGACATCAACTGTCAGTCCAGGGGGAGAGCAGAGCAGCAAGGTAGATATAAGAATCTAAGAGATATTAGAGGGGACTACAATGAATATCAGGAAGACAAGTCAAATGATATGTGGGCTGATTGACTAATATTCCAGTTCTAATAAGGTGCAAGATGAACTTCGAAATACAGTTTAAAAATATTATACCGTGCAAAGAGCATGGTGATTATTAAAAGAATAATATGCCACAGCTGACTGCCACTATCATAGGGGCGTCATTAAAGTGCAATGTCATTATTGTGTATTTTGTTGTGCAAAATAGCCATTGATGGAAGCAACGCACCTGTTGTCCAGACATAAACCACACCCTTGTTCCCATGTTTGACTCTAACCCTTTAGACATAAAATGAGGATTCTGATCTAATCTAAATGCACATATTCACATCATGATGTTTCTGCCAACAATATCATGGTCTGTCATTTGCTCTTGCATTTAAAATGTTTAAACCCTTCGTGCTTTTTGGGTTGTACATCAATCTGTTCCTTCTACCCAGAACCCTCTATTTTCATATCCGATATTGTTTTTGTAACATTACCTCTCTGCTGACTTCTTTCCATCTTGGATCTCGTTCCTTAACCTTCAAGATCTTTGTCAAGTATTTTTATCCTGCAGGCAAATATTATTTATTGCTCTTCAATGGAACAAATCTGAAGCAGCAACTATTAATAAATGGATAAATAACCTTTTAACCTGCCTGGCCATGGAAACAGTGAAGTCTGCTGCTAACGTCAGACCTGTATCCGCTACCTGCAAGATACCCAACCACATGTACTTTCTGATGAAGATAAATAAATGTAGATCATACATGACAGAATGATGAACATGCTGTTTTTGTTGTTGTTTGTATTTGTCCTTTATGTTTCTGTGTGTCCGTCTATATTTATGTTGCTGTTTGTGTCCTTATTCATTGTGCAACAATATGAAATCCAATAAAATAATAATTCAACAAGAACAGAAAAGTGCATGGACAATGTGAACTTGATCCATTAACGACTATAACTGCTAATATTAAATAGCATCTAAGTCATACATACTGACGTCATTAAATAGACTCTTGAAACATAAGTAGAAGCATTGCTGCTTCATATATCTAAAAATATACCACTTATTATTATGTCAGTGTGTTACAATACACAGGGCTACTGGAGTAATAATCGAGGTAGTACAGGCTTAACATTAAAATAACTTTGGTCTAAAAGCCTTCTCAACTATGCACAACCAAACAGCTGGTGATTTTCACCTCCGTGTATGATGGAGTGGAGTTGTGAAGGGATGGATGAAGGATGGCAAAGACATTTAAAAAGTCATGTGATATGTGAATGAATATTAGATTTTTTTGGTAGCCATTTTCATTTAGCAAAGTTAAATGAAGAGCCAAATAATGCAAGGACAGCAAAAATGACAACCATCCGAGTTTCTCCCCCCCCTTGGTGTGAAAAGCCTTTCAGCACTGGGCTTGAGCAAACCAACTGTGGCTCATTAAAGTGACAGATCTCTGGTCCTTGGCTGGTAAGATAGAGCTGAGACATTGTCAAAGATGCAACTGTACTGAGTTACAGAGCCAAATATAACAGATTGCAACTTCCCTCAACCACGTCCATACACTACACACTGTTTGAGTTTGGAGCTGTAGGTGGGGATCTCTGGTTGTACTTCCGTAGTCAATGAACATGTTTGTACAGAAGCTGCAGGGCTTAACAGGGCTGACGCGTTACTATTGTTGCGAAATGGGCTTGTCTCAATATGACTCCATGTATCGTGCAGGTGTGACATACTTGATAAGTCCGATGTGCCGGTGTTGCCAAAGCAAACTTTATCAATACTAGGCATCCATTATTGTTCCCTGAGATCTATTGCTGTGATAAATGTGTTTTCAGTGTGAAAAACTGATCATATAGCAGTAAGTTTGAACACAGAACTGTACTGGCAGTGTCCAAATATCCCTTGCATGACATTAAGAACTTTAGGCTGCTAATACTAGTACTAGTTTGTGTTCTTGTTAGCATTAATATACACTGTAATCTATTCCACCATACCCATGTCATTGTGATGTATACTTAGCAAGACTTTGACTTTACTCCCAAGACGATCCTGTGGCTTTTCGGGGAGTTTTTACCATACAAGGAGAAGAGTTTAGTATGGTTTCCTGTGGGAGGGTTCTGATTTCTCTCACTCTGCATCTGATTCACCCTGTCTCTATTCCTCTCTCCTTTTATCCCTCCCTTGTCTCCTGGATCAGCTCCAAACCTCCTTTCTGCTCACTGTACAAGCTGAAGGGAGAAGGGAATCTTATTAAAGAAAAACCTCACTAAAAGACTTCCAAAATGAATATTTGTTATCTTGAATAACCAGAATTGTATGTGAGCAATGCATTATCATAACATGGTGTGCAACCAGCATCCTGACAAACCAAATAAGGCACACAGTTAATCTCATGATGTCTGCCTGTGTAAACCCGAGGACTGTAGGGCTATCAAACTGTCACCACTTTCATAAACCTATGCCAAAAAAGGCTGACGACTTCCTCCCCTGCTAGAAAGAATCCTAGCAGTTTTGGTCAATAACAGAAAATATGTGAATATCTATATATCTGCTGGCTTTCAATTTGGCAGATTCAGTCACACACTGCGCAGTTATTTACATACCTCTGATATGAGGCAGAACCTCACCGCAAATTATCTCAGCCAATATGACAGTCATGACTATCCCTATCAAAAAACATCATACATCTTCAAAATGGCCCCAAAAACGATAAGCTTGGTTTTGCAACAAAGCTGTTTTTGTGTTAATGGCAATGGTTAAACTTTCCCAACACATAAAGAAAGGTAAACAGATTTCGATGGACAGCAACAACTTTTCCTAGCCATCTTCCTCTGTGCTAAACAACAATCAGGACCATGTCTGTATAAGGAATAACATCAAATGTAAATGGATACACCCCCCCCCAGTGATCATGGCGATGAAACGTGAAAATCAAAACATGCATGTGTCCGGGTCTATCTTCAGTCTCTAAAATGGTCACTGTATGCTTCACTTTTCTTTGAGTTTCCTTGTAATCTTTATTTTTAGTCGGGGCAGCTGGCAGAGAAGAGTTGAAGGCAAGCAGACAGTCATTAGCTCTGATGTCATTAGTACACAAACAGATATACACAGCTCCTGAGCGCTAAAAGTATTTCAAAAGCAGCACTTTTTGCAAAAAGATGAATCATAAATGACAAAAATGTAAACATCAATGTGTAGTTTTCATGAGCATGACCCATTTTTTCAAACATACATTAAAAATAAATCCTGAACACAATTTAAAAACACAAGTTAACAATCATTTTTTGATGTTGTGTGACTAACAAATGACAGAAAACAATTCTAAATAAAATGTCAGTCAGACCAATAGTAATTAAGGGGAGCTTAATTACAGTAGACTTTTGGTTTATGTCCGTGCAGCTGCCTGGTGTTCGTCACACGCAGACAGACTCTTTCTCCAGAATCTGAAGCTGGATCATTTTCCAACAGCCCTTTTTCATTCAGCAGTAGAATGAAAACTATGTCCTTCCTAACCAATTCTGGTATTAACATCAATTTGAACATTCCTGAGTAAGAACACAGGCATATAGATTTGCAGCCCAAAGGGGGAAAAATGTATCCTCCAGTAACTCATATTACTAATGTGGACAAAGTGTTTTTGATGTCTGAGTTCTGGACCTGCTTCTTATCTGATATTTCTCTCCTGCTGGGTTCAAAACAAAAAGGCCATGATCCAAATAAGGAGATGGGAGATCTAGAGCAAGTTGTTCCTCCAAGGAGCCTTCGGAGAGGTGAAGTTAAGATTAGAGAGGGGGGGCACAGTTGTAGAGTAGCCCGGGCGGGGATTGGCGGAAAGGGGTAAACGGTGGGAAAGGGCTGTCACTGGAGACTAGGGCTGTCTCTAAACATCCAGACAAGCTTAGATCACACAGAGCTCCAACGTCTCTCCGTCTGCATCCTCCTCTCCTCTCCTCCTTCTCTCCTCTTCTCTGCATCTGCTGGTTGCTCTCACCCTCAACTCTTCTGAGCCTCTCTTCCTCTGAGCTTCTGCAACAGCTATTCACCTCAAGTTTTCTTCCAAAGCCACTTCCAAGACACTGAGACCCAACTGTCGCCATGGAGGCCATCAAGAAGAAGATGCAGATGCTGAAGTTGGACAAGGAGAATGCCATCGACCGAGCAGAGCAGGCTGAGTCCGACCAGAAGGCAGCGGAGGATAAATGCAAGCTGGTGAGACAAGCTGGTGGATGAGATGGAGCAATGTGTTCTTGTATAACGCTAATTTAACAAATCTGGAGTTAGCTTGGCAATAGATAGATTCTTATTGTGACTTTCATAAATACTCTATAAGATCAAATGCTTTATATATCCCACTCAGAAAGAAGTGCACATGCTACTGTAACAATACTTATACTTTGGTTTGAGTTATGATCTGACCAAATTGTACTTATAAAGCAACACAAATATATAAAATGAATTCATATGAGTTTCACATCAACAAGATTATTTTAATTGTGATTTTGTGTTAATTTTCATGATTTTATAAAATAATATTATTTATGATGTTATTTTGGTTGTATGTAAAACACAGTCCTATTTGGGTTATTTGGAATTTAGTTGCTGATCATATCAATTGGATTTGTGTTTTTTAGTCCACTATTCATGCAGATATATTGGGCTAGATTATTATTATATCTATAATAATACAAATTATTATTATTACTATTTATTTTGTTATTTTTATTTCATTATATTTATTTAATTATTATTTTTAACAGAACATGGCTCAATTTAATTAATTTGCTATTCATATATAATATTAAATTATCTGTATGTTTTATATTAAATTAAAATTCACTTTCCCCCAAGTAAATACAAAACATACCAAACCACTTGTGCAGTCTGTAGAGGAGCTTTATATCAATGTCAAGTGTTTCCCAAAGCACTGAATGCAGCCTAACAGAGAGCAGCTGATACTGAGCCCAGGGGTTTTGTCTTTTAGCGGACAGGAGAAGTAGAGGAAGTCCACAGGGACGCACAAACAGAGCGCTGAGTGACGCCTGCTGGACATTTCATCAGCAGCGAACCAGAGGGATTACTTGAAAGTACCAGAAAGGATGCTGCAGGAGTTTAAATAACTCATTTATAGCAGCTGTTGCTCTGAGAACTACATTACCCAGCATCCTAATTTACGGGAGTGACATATCAACAAAACATAAACTCCAAAAATCAGCACAACCATATTTGGTGTTGCAGTGCGAGAGCCTTAGACAGTTTGGTATTTCCAAGGCTGACTTCATGATAGTGTCCTTAAACCACTTGATACAAGCAAAGTAGAGTCTGGAGATGTAATGTGATATTTGAGGTTGTCTAAATAGAGGCAAATATTGCACAGTTGACATCATGGGGCTACGAGAGGAATTCTAGTGAGCAGGGAGTTGGAGAGGATCTACAGTATCTGCATTAAAGCAAGTGGAAAGAATCTTCTCTGGGGTTTCTAATGTCGTAGTCAAACCCTCAGAGAGCAAAATAAGTGACAGTTGGCAGATATGGACCCCCAGCAAGTCTTGCACAAAGGAACAGTCAGCATGAAATCCTAGAAGATTATGCAGAGCTCTTTAATTTGTTTGGATGGCATCGATACAAGAGATGCTTTCTTTGCTATTCTTGGCACGATGGGACAAACATAAGAGTGCAGTTAGGATGATGGAAGGCCCTGAATATACACAAAACAGAAACTCAATCTTAACACAAGTTACAAACAGTCTGCTGCAGCAGTTAAAAGATCAGTTTATCCAAATAACAAAACAATTTTAAGAATTCAGCATTAATGTGGCTTTTAAAAAGCAATGTCCTGGTTTTACAATCCTTCGACTTCCTCACAAAGGGTTTGAATCTAAATGACTTTCTACCAAAGAAATAGTTCTAATGAAAACCATTTTCTATAGGTGGTGGATGGATTATTCTGAAGTTGTGTTCATTCATGGTTCAGCATTCAGTCATGCATGGTTCCCAGAGAATGAATCCTAATGACATTTGTCTTCTGATATTTCATCTAGCGCCATCATGAGGTTGATATTTGAACTTTTAAGAGTCATTCTTCTACAACTAATGGATGCTTTGGTGTGACAATATTCATGTCCTACAAGAATTCATTGCATTCCTCCGGTGCTCCTCTGACACTTCATCTAGCACCCTCATAAGGAGAAATAAAAGTTATTCCAATAGTTGGTTTTATGACTCAACACCTGTAAAAACAACATTCCCATCAGCCTTGGTGTTGAATTCTAAGAAGCAAATGTTATATGCTAAACATTTTCCTCGTGCATGTAAGCATAGGGAAGCCACAAAGTTTAGTCCTGTTTTGAGAAATGTATCTTAACTCGGGACTGCCATGTCCCCAAGTGCTTCTGGTTTTATTGACCCATCTTACTTAAGTGCTTTCAACCTAAGAAAAAAAAAAATAATGATCATTTTCCTTCCCATCGCTGTATCGAAACAGTCCTGGATTTTTCCATTCAGTGTTTCATTCATACTTACTTGGTTTGGTTTTGCTGTGTCCTTCCTGACTCTCTGTCACGTTTGTCTTCTTTCAGCTGGAGGACGAGCTGCTCGCTCTGCAGAAGAAACTGAAGGGAACAGAGGATGAGCTGGACAAGTATTCAGAGGCCCTGAAGGATGCTCAGGAAAAACTGGAAGTGTCGGAGAAGAAGGCCATGGATGTGAGTTAACCACAACGCCATCTGAAACACATTAACCACATTACAGTGGAACACCACAACTTCTAAGTTTCAGTTTTATAACGTATTGATTACCACACTTTCAGTTGGACTAAACTAAATATTATTCCATGGTTGACAAAAGACCAGCGATAGACACATTCAGGGTTTGCAAAGTGCCTAATGCACTCAGTCTGAGTATTGCTATCACAGCTCACACTCCCAAAAGAGTCATGCCTGAACTTGCATTTGTGACGTTTGGTTGTTTCTTCAGTGATGAAACAGCAGCAATACGTATAACACTGACATTCAGATAATATAAAAACCTATTTTTAAAGCTTTTTGTGTAGCTGTAATCTTGAAAAATGAGGGGAAATGTTATGATTTAAACAAAAAAAGTAAACAAGAAGGCAGTAAAGAGGATCTTATGGGCACATGTTTGCCATCAGATTGGATTTAAACACAGGAAGGTAAAGTATGTCTTCCAACAACCCTTAAAGGAATCCTGAAATCACTGCCTTGTATCTTTCACTTTCGTGTTGAGAATCGTTGAGAATCACTGAGTTATTGGTCTTTGTGAGGTCTGTAATGGAGCCATTTCTCAAGCACAGACATAACTTGGCCAGCCTGTAGCCGACCAGGAATCCCAGGAATGCAGCTTAAGCAAACAGAGAAGCCCATTCTGTAGTTTCTAATGAAATCAATGCTCTGGCCTTTTCTGGGGGCGGAGATATTACACTCTGTGCTTTAAATGGCCTTACAGTACATAAATTAACTTATCAAAACCAATGGTCAAGGACCATTATGTGATCTGTCTTTTACGGCAATGTCCCATTTACCTGAAAAATACTGTTCTGGGTGTCTCTGACCTTAAGCTAAAGGTTAAGCAGAAATATGTAGACAAATAGACTAGCTTTCCACTAAGAGTTAGATGTTCTACTTTTAACCCTCCTATTGTCTTCGTTTCCCCCCCTTACTTTGGTGTTCGCGGTCAAATTTGACCGGTCCTGTTTTAACTGCTATTACATTAACACAAAAACCATTAATCATCACCAAATTTAATTTAACACCCTTTCAAACTGTAAATATTGTATCAGACTACTGGTATACATGAAAAACTGCNCAGTCCTTGCTCTTGGCACATCTAACAATACTACATGATGCAATCTCAGACAATAGCTGCTTGCAACTCTCTCTGTTATCAGAGAGCAGATATAATATGTTGTGTTATGTTCAGTCATTGTTCTTCTGTTGAACACGAATACATTTACTTTGTAAGTAATTATGGGACGTATTTCTTCTTTCATAGCAATTTTCCTTCATACTTTCTTGCCGTGAAATAGGTCTTAAATTCTATTCAAAGTGGTCTTAAAAAGGTCTTAAAAAGTCTAAAATTTGAGTTGGCGAAACCTGCAGGAACCCTGAATGAGGTATTTGCGGTCTACAATGACAGAGAAGAGCCTCTCAAGTTTGACTGTACTCAGCATTGAATCAAAACGCACTAAAGCTTTGGATCTTAATACGTTTGTGAGGCGTCTTGCTGAACAAGATGGTAATCGCCGCATTCAGCTCTTATAGGCATGCCATCTTGATGCTCTGCTCACGGATGACTCGATGAGCATAACAAACTGTTAAGATGATGACCTTACGTGTGTGAATATAGTTTTTTCTTTGTGGGGTCTTCCCCCAAAAAACTGTTTTAACTCCTGAGAAAGTAAAATAAGACGGTGTGTAAAACTACACTGCCCTGCCAAAAAAAAGTAACCACTTTGATTTAACTAGGCCAGTAGGTACGGACTTTCCACTGGATAATAATACCCCTGCATTATAGCAGCAACAACAACAACAATAATAATAATAATAATAGTAATAATAGTAATAGCAATAATAATTGGGAAGGGGGGCGCGGCGCGGCTGTTCTTATGTTTTCTGAGGGGAGGCTCACCTTCCCACACTTTGAAAACCCCTGTTCTAAATGATTAACTCAGTGTTACCTGTTTGCTGCTTTGTCAGGCCACTCATATGATACTGCAGAAGAAAAGAAGCCTTCCTCATGAACAGGAAACAGAGGAAAGCCTGGCCCCCCCATCCAGAGCCCCCCCACAGGTATTTACTTTACTTGTAATGGAGTATCTTCAGGATGTGATATTAGTACTTTTTCTTAAATAGGGGATCTGAGTACTTTTTCCACCACTGCTTTTCTTTTGGTAACTTCCCCATCAGGTGGGGGATAGTGGGCTTCTGGTGGAGCTGCCTGAGGTGGAGCTGCCTGAGGTGGGCCGGCTGCTGAAGGAGATGTCCCTGTGTCTGCTGGACCTGCAGGCCCTCTGCAGCATCCTGGCCCAGAGAGCACAGGGGAAGGAGCCCAACCTGTCCCTGCTGCTGGGCATGAAGTGTATGCGCGCACACACACACACACACACACACACACACACACACACACACACACACACACACACACACTCACAAAACTGTGATTTTTGATCCTGAAAATTCAGCAATTGATTCAGCATCCTCAATAACCCCCAAACCACTCCAAAATTGTCAAAATCGGCCAAGCCATTTTGAAAGTATTGTCTACATCGGCTATAATGCTAATTCATTCAACTTATGCTAATTGTGAAAATTGCCCACATTATGCTAAGTAGCATCCAGCAGTTTGTAATTACTGGGGATCCATACTATACATTTCTAACATAACACTTTGGGGTACTCAACATTTCCGGGTTCACAGTTCTGGAAACTAGACTAAAGTGTCCTTAGTTGCTTTCCACTGCTGACCACTAGTGATAAACCCGTCCGTCTGTGTCTGTTCAGCACTGAGTGTGTCTGCGGAGGAGAGTGACAGCAGGGAGGAGGTGGAGGAGGAGCTGAGGGTGAAGCTGCTGGAGGTGGCTCGGCTGCGGGGGGACATCGACGAACTGAGAAGGAGCATCTCGGAGCGCTACGCCCAGGGTCAGGGGGACAGCTGCGTCTCCCAGTGACCCCCCCTGTGTCCCTTCTATCTGTCAAATTCACCTTTTTTTATTGTGTCGTATTTGCAAATTTACGAAGGAGGAGTCTGTTACTATTGCATTACAAAAGCATGTGGAAAGAAAGAAAGAAATAAACAGAAACTATACTAAAGGGATACATTATTTTTTACAATATATCATTATATGTGTAGTATTACCATATCAATATTACATTTTTTATATTAAGTTTATTGTTAATACTGGTATTAATCATATCCACTCAGTAAGAGGATATGAGCAAAATTAGGAATGTTGCTATGATTAAGAAGTGAGATCTAAATGAGTGAATATCAGTATTAAAGCTGCCGCTTGTTGCGCTGCCTTCTAGTGGCCCAAACTATGTTATTTATCGATTTAGATCAGGGGTGTCCTAAAATGTTTCACTGAGGGCCACATACAGACAAATATATGAAGGGCTGGACCCCTCACTAGAGGTGAGGTATATTGCCTCATAAGGTCAGTTATAAGTAAGCAAAATCAATCAAATGTAGCGACATTATTCTTGATAGAAAGCTTTAAGAAAAAAACAGTCTACATCACAGCTCTCCATAGGGTTTCATTTACTTTGTTACAAAAAGTATATTTCAAGTGTGTTACGAGAATAAGTTATTGGGCTTTTTCTATCAACTAAGATTTGTTAGAAAATGTTCTCTGCTTTATTGACTGAATTTATTAGAAAATTGGGCTCATTAACACATGAATACTGTGTATTTGAACATATATATTTAAGAAGTACAATATAGGACAAGCACAAGTTTCATGTGCATATTGCATTATACTTTTAGGATTTGCTGCAGGCCAATTAAAAACCGACCACGGGCCACAGTTGGCCCCAGAGCCACGCCCCTGATTTAGATAAATAGCCTCAATAAGCATAGAAGAGCACCTTCAGGCAGAGTTATTGTGCCTGATCATTAAATATGAAATTGTCTATGCACATGTTGAAAATACATAATGACATTTGTATTGAACGCTCAGTGGATCAAGCACCTCTCCTGCTGCTGGATACTGAAATGCAATTCTAGTTAGATCAATCTCATCCATGTGAATTTAAAGGTCTTAATAAGCAATATAAATATAAATGGTGCGTTCTCCCCATGATGTGGGTTTCTATCTGTGGTGACTCATCAGGTGAGAGTCAGTAGTCACATTTATTCGTCATGTTATAGATAATGTGTCATTAATTGTTTCCAATTAGCCGTCATGCTAATCTTGCAGCCAAAGAAGCTGAAAGAGCGAAAGTGAAGCAGCACATGCACTTTCTGGTACTTGTAGTCTCCTAGTGCTTCAGGCCAGTTGGAAAATGAAATAATTTCTCTATTAAGCTTTATATATATCGAACAAATTATGATGTATAGCTTTTAAAATGTGTCAGTAATATAACTAACCGAGCCACTGGATGGCCTGCTCCTCGACACAGGAAATGATTTCTGCTTGATGTTATTTTACTTTTACTGACAAAATGTATGAATGCCAACAATGTACGTGTATAAGCAGTGTTGTTCCTAAATCCTATCTTGTTGTTTTGCTAGATGGAGGTTTGATCATATTTGTTAATGGCAAATAAAAGTATTTTTCTAAAGAATGTGTTTGATCCACTGGAGTCAGAATACTTGCCGGAATGATGGACATAACACAGAGCTTGCGACAGAATGCACAGTCAGCATTACTTGATGTTTGCTGAGGAACATCTGGGAGGGGATTACACTTCATTGGAAGATTTCCCCTGACTGTAGGACAGGAGCAAACAGAACCAGGGAACAGAAACTGCTTTTTTAAAATATCTTTATTGAAGACACATGGCAAATAGAACAGACCTTTCTGTACATCAATGGGAACTATAGTTACTAAATAAAAACAACTAGTGATCGTCTTAGTCTCAACTTGTGCGTCAATTGAAAAGCTATCCTGTTCCTTTTCTCTTAACCCTCCTGTTGTCTTCGGGTCAAATCTGACAGATTTACAACTTTCATCAATCATAACTTTTTTGTTTTACATTCGATTGCATTAAGGCTTTATGATATCCTTCATAGTAGACATTTGAACATATACAATTGCTGATCACCACTTTCATTGAATTTTGGATGATTTAGTCAACTTTGTAACACCCATGGTGTTCCCGGTCAAAAATGACCGCCATAAAGAAAAGGAATTAGTAACCATCCGGATCAGATAAAACACACACTTATACTCTAGATGTGTTCACCCCCCTTATGTGCCCATCCCCCCATGTGAATCACAGCTGGCACTCACAAACACACACACAGAACAATTTGATACATTCCCCGCTCTTATGTGCCCATCCCCCCATGTGGATCACACACACCTGGCACACGCAATACATGTTCAGTGTCTATTCTTTGTATATTTACTGCAGTTTTTCATGTATACCAGTAGTCTGATACAATATTTACAGTTTGAAAGGGTGTTAAATGACATTTGGTGATGATTAATGGTTTTTGTGTTAATGTGATAGCAGTTTAAACCAGTGGCGTAGCCAGGAATTATTGTGTGGGTGGGCCTGGAGAAATGTAGGTGGGCTAGGAGGAGACTTTTTAAGCGTGGGGTCTGAGCTGAAACTTCATTAATGATTTTTTAATGCACTAATTGAACATAAGCATAAACTAGCAGTGAAAACAAAAACATCGGCACGGCGGCCTCAGAATGTGTGTAAAACTGACATCCACATGACTAGGGATGGGTATCGTTAAGGTTTTAACGGTAGGCCTACTACTACTTTTATCGATACCGCTTATCGATCCGGTGCTTTAACGGTACTTTTATCGGTTTTCTTTTGGAGAAAAAAAGAATGGTAAACTAACTAAACAAACTTGTGACAAAACTAACATTGCTTTTTATCTTAAATTTAGTTAATATACATAATACTTTCACATTACAGAAACAGACAATCCGTAGATACATCCGTATTAAATAATCGGATAGAACTGTTAACAGAATAGCTGACCAAGCTGTAACGAAAATAAATAACTCAGTTACCCCTAATCATTAACCATGTTCTGTATAATTGAGTTCAAATGTGTGTCCGCTTGCATTCATAACACACTGACGTGGAACGTTACTTCGTGGAATGGGGGGCTTACAGCGCTACCAGAAAGACAGCGACCCGGGTGCATTTCTTCTCCGTCTGAATGTGGTGCACTTTTGCTAAAAATGTTTGAGACAAATTGCTCGTGGTTCCGGCGCACTTAACATGCCTAACTCTTATTGCACTCTTTGCGTAACGAGCATCGGACGGATAAAGTTTAACCACACCTCGGAGCGCGTTCTCTCTGCATGCTCCTCCGTGTGTTTGTGGTGTGTCTTTGCTTGCATGTAGCAGTCTGCGTTGTGTAAAACTGCCCCGCCCCCGTCGCAAGCAGGCGGGGATTGGAAAGATCTAAAAAATCTACTAAAATAAATGCATAGACGCCATTCTGCTGTCTTTTGCATATTTGAAAGCGGAGTTAGCCCCGAACACCATAAAACTGGCAATATAATGTTTGTGTAGCAATAATTTNATCAGACAAAACACACACACAAACACCCACACACACACACATACTCTAGACCAGGTGTGATTCACATGGGGGGATTGGGCACATAAGGGAGGGGGACACATCTAGAGTATGTGTGTGTGTGTGGGTGTTTGTGTGTGTGTTTTGTCTGATCCGGATGGTTACTAATTCCATTTCTTTATGGCGGTCATTTTTGACCGGGAACACCATGGGTGTTACAAAGTTGACTAAATCATCCAAAATTCAATGAAAGTGGTGATCAGCAATTGTATATGTTCAAATGTCTACTGTGAAGGATATCATAAAGCCTTAATGCAATGGAATCTAAAACAAAAAAGTTATGATTGATGAAAGTAGTAAATCGGTCAGATTTGACCAGGCGGGTTAAGGTCTAGATTTTTCATCAGATTTGAAGTAAGATGCATCTTGGTAAAAAGGTTATGCCTGTGGGTTGTTGCACACACATCATTACTATAGTTTCAACTGAGATGTATTTGTATTATTGATTATCTGATTATTTTCTTGATTATCTCAGGTAATTGTTTTGTCTATTTAAGAAGTCAGAAAGTATTGAAAAAAAGACTTATTACAATTCTCACAACTGAGAAACTGGGACTAGTGAATGTATAATATTTATTTTATTAGAAAAGTTGCAAATATAATGTATTCCTCAGTTGGACGAAAGCAGAGGTAATCGCTACCTGCTGGGCATTGCAGCTGGTCCCACCTCCACAGGTGCCCATGGGCCAGCTGCAGGGTCCTCAGCTAGGACTTCACAGATGTTTGGCCCCTTTAATCTCAGTACATCTCGGTGGGACGCCTCCCTCCCTCTCCCCACAACTGGTCCTAAAATCCTCGCTTAACCTTTATGTATAGCCAAAGCCAGACCCATAACACTAAAACTGAATTAAACACATAGCATTGAATATAAAGTAGATTCCACAGTATGTCCAAAAAAACAGGTCAGATGAAACCCCTCAGGTTAAAGGTCACATTACAATGTGTTCATTACAGATAATCCAATGCCAATTATCATACTTGTGTTGTTCCAGCACTGCTTCTTCTTCTCCTCATAAGTTTCACACTGCAAATGATTGTGATACTTGGACAGAAAATGACATTTAAGGCTCTTCTTAAAAAATGAGGAGGAGGCATAAGGGGGCGCTGGAGGAATGTGTCGCCACCATTTACATTCAAAGCTGCTACAGGTCCACAACCGTTGTTGAAAAGATTATTATCGCTTCACCCCTTCTACATGTTCATCTTTAAACCCTTTATTTCTATACAGTCTACAACTTGCCTCTTTGTCCTTTCAAAAACTTTTACTTTTCTTCCCCCCTCACACAACCATGTCCAATCTTGCATGATTCGCTTAAAGTGTCGTAGGAGTGAATCACACCTATGAATCAGATGAGGTAACTCTTCCTGATCTCTATGCCCTCCTCCTGCAGAACAAATGCAGCCTAAGCAACACCTTACGTTTGCCATATAAGTCCACAATAGAATTGACGTTACACACCTCTTTTGTGGAGGAAACGACCGAGTGCCTTCCCCCTTCTGAATCCTGTGATGTCATCTGAGACAGGCTCCTTCACGGGATTGGAGGATCTCGCCATACATTTCCTGAAAACTCCCAGCCCTTTTTCCCCCCATCTCAACCCAGCACGTCCCTTACTTCCTGCCCTAGAAAAAAAGTTTTCCTCGCAGTCCGCAACTTTGAGGCGAATCAATAACTTTTTCGCGGATACAGCCAGTCGATCCAGACTGCTACATTTGCCGGGCTACTTCTTTTTCTTTTGAAGAAAACAAAAAGCAGTCGATATTATGGAGGTCGTGAAGAAGAAAATCCAAACCCTCCAGCTACAAGTTGATGAGGCAGAAGACCGTGCACTGGCAGTACAAAGGGAGTTGGACACTGAACGGGAACAGCGAGAAGAAGTGAGATAATTAATCATGTATCCAACTTCAGTCGCATTTTTACTTTTATATTAACTTTTTGAGCAACTTTTATTGTGGACTGTAACTTAAGGGATTCACACGCTAACTGTCAGTGATAATGAGACACGCAACGCCCCTGTAAAGAATTTCGACCTTTTCCTGCGTATCTCATTTGAATTGTTGCCGTTTCTAACTTAAAATGTGTCAATATGATGCTTTTTAGAGGTTTGTTGGAGGAAATTGCATATTTGTAGAGACATGACGTATGAAACCTGTGTTCGACTGCGTTATCTAACTTTAACCCGCCCTATTTCTGCCTAAACCACCAGCAAATGCAACGACAGCTTCAGTCGATTATTACATTAACCGTCAGCGTGGTTGCTTAAGGTGTGGCAGGCTTTATACGATTTTCTCCCAATTTATGTCAAAGGTTGTTTTGTCAATCATGCATTATTCCTTGTTCGGATCGCCCTTTGAGCTTTTTCTCCGAAAAACATTTGACACATATTAGGAGCTTTAATCCCTCCTCTTGAGCCTCTACACAGGAAGAAGAGCGCAGAAGTGGTTATCTCTGATATCAGTCCCACAGGAAACAGGCCCAGAACAGGCAATCTGTCGTCCCCCAAACATACATTTAAAAAAAGTCAGACCAGATGTTCCACTTCAGATATTTCAGGGTTAAGTTTGGCCACCCTGGTTTTCTGCTTCAGCAGTTTTCAAAGTATCAGGTCAAGATTCAAAGTCCAGAACTCCTCAGGGTTGTTGAAAGTGAAAACAAATAGGCCTACACGGAATAAATCTGACTTATTGGACAGGAGGATAAAATGAAATGTATTTATGCACATAGTCTTGTGGTTGGTTCCACAGAATGTAGGCATTATTAAATAATCTATAAAAAACCCTCTTTATATTGAGATCAAGAAACTAGTTTGTTTCCCATGTGCAGCTGGGTCCATTCTCCACAGTATCCTTCCTCTTGAGGCAGCAGCTTGTTTCCTGGCTGACCTGTGACCTCTTTTCCTCTCTGTGTTGTGTGTGTGTGTGTGTGTGTGTGTGTGTAGGCAGAGAGCGATGTGGCATCTCTGAACCGCAGGATCCAGCTGGTGGAAGAGGAGCTGGACCGCGCTCAGGAGAGACTGGCCACAGCCCTGCAGAAACTGGAGGAGGCTGAGAAGTCTGCGGATGAGAGTGAAAGGTGAAAATCAACACTGCCGGCGGTCATTTTACGCTAACCACAAAGTTGTAGACGTATACAGTATTAGAAAATGATCATCTCACAGCATTAAGGGTCACACATTTTGATAAGGAGCAGCGAAGAAGAGCCTTGCGGTATGACATAGGCCGCAAACATATTATTTGTAATATTTCAAGAAGATATAGATTCTAGTTTTGGAAATCTAATACAAGAAATGTAATTAAGATCACGATGGGATGTTTGCTGTACGAGAAACAGACCAGATAAAACTTCAAAAAATACAAAATTAGAGCAAAGGAAGCTAAACTATGTACCACAATTTATTCAAATGTATTTAAGAATTAAAGGATAGAAGAAATTCAAAATCTAATATTAGATTTGAGTAGTTATTTCAAATATCACAGTATAACCTTGATGATTAATCAATCCTGTAATGATTATGAGTTATACATGTTAAACGTTTGGTATGTCCAGTGAAACCTATACATAAGAGCTCATCTGTTGCTTTTATTGAGAGAAGGCCTGGAAAAGAGTTCTGTCACCTGCATTATTCTTAGACTCCGACCACAAAAATGAAGTCAGAGGCAGTCTGAACAAACTTTTTGTCCTTTTGAACTAAAAGTCTGTCTCTCTGTGATCATCAGAGGAATGAAGGTGATTGAGAACAGAGCCATGAAAGACGAAGAGAAGATGGAGATCCAGGAGATGCAACTCAAAGAAGCCAAACACATCGCTGAGGAGGCGGACCGCAAATACGAGGAGGTAGAAGTCAAGAAGATCACATTTCAGCTCATTTTCAGTTTGCAGACGTCATTTCTGTTAACTGTGTTTTTTTTTTTACTAATCTAATGTCAGGTTGCCCGTAAACTGGTCATCCTCGAGGGCGAGCTGGAGAGGGCAGAAGAGAGGGCAGAAATTGCAGAACTGTAAGGAGAAATAGCAGAAGTTTAATGCATGTTTACCAGCATCATTACATTGTCAACATCAATCATGTTCAGAAAATTCAGATGTGTTTCCTCTATTCAAACAGTAAGTGTGCTGACCTGGAAGAAGAGCTGAAGAACGTCACCAATAACCTCAAGTCGCTAGAGGCTCAGTCTGATAAGGTGAGTTTTGTTAATCTCCCTCTCCAGTGTGATGGACCAGCCTGCTGTTTTATCTTAAAGAAAACTTCACATATTCACAACCACTCAGCTGTTCCCCTGCAGCAGAGCATTTTTAACACATTTCATTGAGTAGAGGAAGTGTTACCCATTTAATTGCCCTGCATGTACAGAAAGAGAAATGCTTTATTTTCTAGTCACAATAGCTACATCGTTGTTGTTGGCAATTAAAAACTTCCATGTTCCTCCAACAATGTATAATACAATATACTTAAAGGTAGGGTATGTAAGTTTGAGAAACCGGCTCGAGATACACTTTTTGTTATATTCCATGGAATGCTCTTAACATCCCGATAGCAATGAATATCTGAAGTGCTTTGACAAAAAATCCATAATAAAATGTCATCTCTGGAAGCCGTAGCGCTGTAAAAAGCCCGACCAATCATATGAGCCGGCCCGGCTAAAGTAACTGGATGGCCTACCTGCCTGTCAGCCTTCTATCTCGTGCACAAACTTATGTCGTGCCCTCATTGGTCATGTGCGCGTTCGTGTGTGTTGGAGGAGGGGCTCTGTAAGGAACTGGCAGATTTTCTCCGGTCATGTATTTTCAAATTCTAGCGCACTCGGGCCGGTTTCTCAAACTTACATACCCTACCATTTTTAAAAGCATAAAAATGACATAAAATAGTGCCAAAGGACATTAAAATACATGTGGATTAACTTGGTTTCTCGATTAAAACCATGTGGTATTTATTGTGTTTGCAATGAATTTCCTTTCCTTTCTGTCTCTATAGTACTCTCAGAAAGAAGACAAATATGAGGAGGAGATTAAAGTCCTGAGTGACAGACTTAAGGAGGTAAGTTTAT